CTTTTTTTTTAAATTTATCGTTGTTTATAAGAATAAATAATAGAATGTTGAAATATAGATATTCGTTTTAATGTTAACTATCAAATATCATTCATCTTTTGTGTATGACAAAAAAAAAAGAGTTTCAAATGTTGGATTATATTCTCTTTATAAAGACTTTTTATTTCTTAGGAAATTTTGAACAAGAAAAGATTAATGATGTTTCTTAATGTGAAGATATTTTATCTTCGAAACTTTTCTTACTTAAAAATTCAAAAAGATAATGGTATTTTATTGTATTGACTCAAAAATGGTTTTTTTCCCTTGCTAGATCATGATATATAGCTTCGGAAGACATGAAAGTGTCTTCAACTGATTTAGAAGATATTTTTAGTGATTGCCTTTGTCGATTAACATATTGAAGTAAAACAGAGAATGTCAGAAAAATTATACTGATACTATAAAACTGAAAAATGTTATATAATAATGCTTCTATTGAATAGATTTTAGTATATGGAAAGAGAAATCAAAGAGGAAGCGTTTTTTTTTGTGCTCTCTAACGACAATAATACTTTGAGTGTTCCTGTATAAATAATGTCGATTTTTATAGAAAATTGCAAACAAAACAGCGGCGTACATCAATAAAGGTAAACTCTAATAGATAGTTAAATTATTATCAAGAATCAAATAATTTATTTTAAAATAATAGAAGCTGAATCATGTCTATATTTAAATAGAGAAAATAATTCAAAGAAAAAGTACAGATATTTGCTTAGCGCAAAATCATTTGATATTCAACTAAAACTATTCTTATATGTGTATAATCCTTGAAGTGTATTGTTTGAAATTGTATGAAAATAGACTTCATTGAGAGGAGAAATAGCAAAAAAATTATCAATCTACAATAATTACACATTGTATAATTATTAAGGAAAGTTTGTCTTACAGAAACAGATTGAAAATAAAATGTAAATTCCCACAAAAATATACAGAGAAGAAGTGACATCTAAATATTTGAATTCAGTAATTAAAACTGAATTCTAAAATCTGAGTTTCCACAAATGTTTCATTCAGTTTAAATTTCAGATTTAACCTGTATATAATTTCCTTTATAATGATTATTCATTATAAAACATAATTTCTTTTATGAACAATTTTATATGATTTTTTCATCAATTCTTATATCTTAATAAAGCATAAATCTATTTCCTATAAATCTTGGCTTTAAGATAGAACTTAATGAGATTTTCAAAATTACAAACAAAATTTTTGTTCTATTTCCAACAGGAAAAGTGAAAGAAAAGAGGTTCTAGGACACTAACATTTTTTTTGCTTGTTTTCCATGAGAATTTCTTCAGGAATCATGCATAAAGAACGCCCAGGTAATAAGGGCTTCACCAACCTATCAAATTTTTAATATGTCGATTTTCTAGGTTCCCTCCGATTTTCAGAAAACTCGTATATCCGTATTTCAATTTGAAACTTCGCACATATTTCGAAGAAACTTTTGTTCAAAACTTCCGAATTTGTTTATGGAAACTAATCTAGTTGAGTTCTCTATATACACAAAGTTTCAGATTAAAATTCAAAAATACGAGATTTTTGAAAATCCGGCGCCTCTAGAAAATAGACATATTAAAAATTCAATAGCTTAGTTAAATATCAATAGGAATCTAAATGCTTTTAAGATTTTTATTAGCATACTATATAGTATCTATAGGCAAAACATCATCGAAATTGGAAGATAAAATCTGAAGAGATTTCTCCGTTAGTTTGTTTTGAACAGTATTTTTTAAATAGAAAATGAATTGAATGAATCAATTGAAATATAAATATAGTTTTAAAATAATTGAAGATTATCCTACATTGGTAGCTAATTGTTTTCTTGAGTAGTAATATGAATATTGTTAGAGTTTTTAGTAGCATTGGTATTACGCTTCTTTTCTTTCTTTCTTATATTTCTACTATTTTCTGTTTGTTAAAATCGAATGTATTTAAAAGAGCAAAAATTTTTCAATAGGTTAGATTTTTGTTTGTGATTTATAATATGTGTGCTTATTCATTTCTATTTTTCATATGTTTATTTAATAAAAATGAAATAGTTGTTTTTTATATTGGACGTCTAAGAGTGGCACGATGACACTGGATAGAGTGAGGGAGAAGTCAAAAAATGCGATTTTTATCTGAACTTCCTTTACGGATCTTTCCTCACTTTGTATTGATTATTTTTTTGTTAGTTCCTTGTAGACAAAAACCTTCTGTTATACCATTTCAACAGATTCTAACGACTTCTTTCAATTTTTAATCGATTTTGTAATATAATCTAAGTTTTTCTTTTTCTTTTTTTTATAAATTAGAAATGATGATGATTCAATCCACAATATTAAACATCGTTTTGGATTACTTGAAATAATTTCAATCGAATGTGATTTTCTATAATTAATTCTATTAATTGTTTTTCTATTTGTCTTGTGTTATACAAAAGAAAAAAAAAAGTCAACTATAAATTCTTGTCTTCTTCATTATTATACCTTCAATGATTCAGTCATTTGTCAAAAAATCATCTTTCATGCAAACATTACTTTTATTTAAATACATATTTACTATACAATTATCGATTAATGAATAGATTAGATGTTATCTAGTGAATATTAATTAATAGTTTGATTGAATATTTTCAATGTTTAGAATTAAACATGTTCTTATTCAAAAAACAAAAATAAAAAAAAAATTTTTTTTTCTTTTATTATACAATTGTATATAGATTAAAACCAGATTACATAATGAATTATAGTTTATTCGAATGAATACTTAACGAATTAATTCAATTAAAGACTAGTAAAAATTTAAATAAGATTATTTATAAATTATTTGAATGTCATCAATCACTGTCGGAATAAAACAAACGAAGAGACTACATCTATTCTAATTTAACGAAGCCACATCACTCTAGAGACATTGCAATATGTGAGTGTTTTTTTTCAAGACATGTAATCCTATGTTAATCCATCATGTGGAACAGTGAAATTCTATCGATCATCATGTTTATATGAATCATCACTTCCAATGATTTATTAAAAAATATAAATTTCGAAAGAATATGTCAATTTCCATTATAGATAATACAAAAAGTTTACTCAAACAATCTAAAATCCTATTAATTAATTTAATATTATTCTTTTATATCTTCCAATAGTAATAATAATTTTGTAAGACTATTTCAATTTTCTATAGAAAACTTCTTTTACATTTGATTTCATTATCTAACACCATCTTGAACATGATTATTGATTATCATTCATTGATTATTTCTGCGTAAAACTATCACTTTACCTTTTTCTTTTTTTGCACTATATAATAAAAAAAAATTAGATTCATACACTAATCAATGAATAATGCAAAAATCTTTCAGATAAATTAATATATTCTGTTAATACCAAAACGGAAATAGAATTCTGTCTTTTTTTTTTTTCGTTTAAATTACATAAAAAGAAAACCCATTAGCATATTGTCTATTCATTTAAACCGAATGTCACATCTGCTGTACCTATATGCTTTTATCTTGTTCGTTCGATCTTCCTCTAATTTCAACATTGTTCATTCACCAAACATCCAGGTACAGATCACCTGCTGACAAAATATATATATATATATGTATACATGCTTGCTCTAATGAAGCGCAATAATACGCTTATCAATGACTACTAGAATTCAACCATCATTTAATCGGTTGAACAACACGCACAAAACGAAGAAGTAAAGAGACATTACGTGTCCTCAAACAAGCATTCATAAAAATAAGCAAATATATATATGTATATATATCCAACCTGATTAGCAGACGTCCCTTTGCCTACGGCAATTAAATCGGTCAGAATTGAGTTCAAAACATCTATAGAATAATTTCAGTCGGTAAGTTCAACAAATGTGTTAACAACAACAATGAACTGATCACCAAACGTTGAACTAAACAATGTGTTATCAATCGATGACACTTCATCGAATAGACAATTTTTCAATATATTGTAATGACAATCGGACAATAACGACAAGCGAAAATTAGATCTCACCATTCAACACACATGTTCACTTATCAACTATCCAGATGGATAAATTGCGTGTTAAATATCTATCAGTTGATCTATTCTTCAAAAAAATAAAAATGAAACATCTCCAATCAATTCTTTTACTAATAAAAAAAAAAAAAGTAAAAGTGATTTAGATTTGTGCAAATGGAAAAAATTTTTACACATTCACACACACACACACACATGTCTGCTGATCCCGCCCAAGTGAGTAAAGTCATTCCGTTGGGTGCTAGAGATAAATTGACGACAACACCCACATTCGAGTCATAATTACGTCACACAATTAGAGTGTCAATAGACAGCAGGAGGTTTAAAAAAAAAGAGAGCATCATCTGATTCCCAAGGTATATTACATTTATTCATCACGCACATTCAATTTTTTTTCTTTTTATTATTCTATTCGAATGAAGAAGTTTTACTTTGACAATCTGTCATTGTTCTAGTTTTGTTTTTTCTGATTACAATTGAACACGCGACTAACGTATTTTACCAATTAGAACGTCTGGCATTATTAAAAAAAACCTAGTAGGTAAAGTTGACTTGAAGTTGAACAGAGAAAATATGATTGACAGATTAGTTTAGAAGAGCAATTGTTCATCGATCGATCGTTGACAAAATAAAAAGAAAAGAAAAAAATGATAAGCGGCATGTCAACCACCTGCCTTTCAAAATACTCATCATCAATACTTTAACTAAACGCATATTATGCAGGTGAATAACACAATGTTGAATTATATGAGCAGCTGGTTAGAACAAAACATCACCATTTTATAATCAGATTAGAATGAATATATATACGCTTGAATGGTTGAAGAAAAAAAAAAGGTGAATGTATATTAGATCATTGAAACATACATAGACATACATATAAATGAGAAAAAGACAAAACAAAAAAAAAAAAAAAAAAAGAAAAAAAAAGGAAACTGATTTCGACTATCTTTTAGCCGAATGTTTTATAACAGAATGATGAATAGGTGATGGTAATGAAACATCAAATAAAGAAAGATTGTTATTTGAATCATGTCCATGATTTGTAGTTGAAGGATTTTTATTATATAAATAATATGAATATGGATTATTTGTATTATTTGTATCAATTAAATAATTTTCATGTGTATGCTGTGGTTGTTGTTGTGGTTGTTGTTGATGTTGATGATAATTTTGTTCATTTATTATTGGTGATGTACGATGATTAGTATAATAACGATTATTTGTATCTTGATAATAAACAGCATGATATGGTGTTAAACTATTTTGATATTGTTGTTGTAATGCTGCTGCATAATAATTTGAATATGTACCACTATATGGATTTGTATCATTAACTAATAATAAATCATTTGGATTATTTGTTTGAGTTGTATAATTATTTGTTGCTGCTTCAATAAAACTTGCTGTTGTTACATCGGTTGGATATGATGAAACATATGCTGATGGATATGAATTATAATATGGATCAAATGATGATGATGATGTTGATGATGATGATGTATTTGATGTAAATGGATTAATTGTTTGTTGTTTAATTGTTGTTTTAGAAATTTTTTTTGTTGTACGTGTATTATTATTATTTGTTATTGTTAATGATAAATTTGTATTTGAATTTTTAATTAATGATGTATGATGTTTTAATGTATAATTTTCATCATCATTTATATTTGAATTAAAATTTGTATCAAAATCATATAAACATGGATATGGTAATTTAAATTCAGTTCCACGTTTATAAAATAATTCTTCACCTTCATCATCACTAGAATCAAAAAATATAAAGCAGATGGATATGTCTTTTTTCTTTTTTGTACAATAAAAGCAATGTGTCTTTTCGTATCCGTTTTATCTTTTAACACCGCCCATTTCTTTTTTTTTTTAAATAAGACTATATTTAAAACGGAAGCTTTTTCCTTTCTTCCGGAATTTTTAGAAAAAAAAAAACTTTTTTTTCTTCTCGTTTTTTTTTTTTCCTTACGTTAATGGTCGATGATTTGCTATGACAAAATCGGGTTTATTACTCTTATAAATAATTCTCATTGATGATTGTAACCATTGCCAACGACCATCTTTCGTTTGAATACGATAACAAACAAGACCTGATGTACCGGTTTTTAATACTAAAAACAAAAAAAAAAGAAAATCAGAATATTTTCTTTTTTGTTTTTGTCCATTGAGAATTTTTTTCTTACATTCTTTATGTGCAGTTGAATAATATTTTAAATCATCTGAATGTATCCAATTATATCCACCACCTAATTGTGTTAAATCATGATCTGTATAATTTAAAATTAATTTTCCTCTAAAATAAAATAAAATTTTAATCAGATAAAAAAAAAAGAAAATAAAACCTTGGATCTAATGATACAGGTTCTAATGTTAAACGATATTTTGATTTAAATAAACTTTCACGTTGAGGAATTTCAAATAAAGATGGTGGTCCAAATGGGCAAGCAATACCAATTAATGCTAATGAACGATGATCATCCAATGTATGTGCTGGTTTTTGCCCATATAAAATTCCTATTCGTCCATCTATTTCTAATGTCTATTGAAAAAAAAAAAAAAGAAATGATCTTTTTTCTTAGTGGTGGATCCAAAAAAAAAACTTTCTATGAGAGTCTCAATCATGGTGTAGGTTTTTTGTTTTATTTAGTGGTGAATTTAGAGGGAAGAGCGATTGTCCCTCTACCAAAATATCCTCTATCGGAAAGGACTTAAAAATGAACTGCAAAATACTTTTTAATGATAATCATAGAATTCGCTATTGATTTTATTCTTACCACAAAACCTGATGTATTATCAAGTAAACAACGAAATCGTACAGTAAATGTTCTTTGTAATAAATGATCATGCTCTTTAAAAGTAAAGTAAATTTAAAGAAAAAAACAAAATCAAAAAAATTAAATTTTACCTGAATTTGTTAATATTTGTTCTAATGTTAAATTTTGATGTTCATTTGTTATTTTTTCATTCCATTGTAAATGTCTTTTAAATTCATCACGATCTTCTGAATGAATTAATTCAAATGCACTTTGATGAAGTATATCTGACTACGAAAAAAACAAGAAGAGAAAAAAAAAAAAAGAATAATTTCATTATTTTCTTTGACATAGCAAAATGAAATAAAACAGAATTGATTTATTCTATTGAAATAAATCATAGCGTGATCATAGCAAACTGTTCATCTAATTTTATTAATTGATGATCTAATAGTCATCAGGGAGGAAGATCTATCAAATAATATTTACTTGATGAAAACCAAGATATTGTTCAACAGTTTTTGATGCAAAAAACAATTCACCATCACAACTAACAATTATAATAAAACCTTGTAAAGCCTTAACAAAATAAAATATTAGAAAAAAAAAAAATTGTTTTTTTTTCTTTAAATTTTCTATTATACTTCTAAAATTGAATCTCCTTCACTAAATGTTGGATCATGATAATATATTTCTTGACAAAGACCTAATGATGTTGATGAACTTGTTGTTGATGTTGTAGCTTCATATTGTTGTTGTTGATTTTGTAAATGTTGACGGTTTTTAAATGTAGCTAAGATTAAAAGGACAAAAGTCAAGATAATTATCTATTCCGAATCTCCACCCATAATTGATCTTGACTATTCTCACAGAATAGAAGACTAACCCGCTTTCTTCTTCTTTTTTTTTGCTTCTTCTGACACGCGAGATGATCACTAATGATAAAAAGTCAGTCAGTCAGTCAGTCAATTTCCAAACATAAACACTGTCATTACTCACACATCAAATAAAATTGACGACAAATAGAGTGTTAGTTTTTGATGCACATAGAAACTCATAAAAAAAAATTAAAGAAATACACTCACACTCAATTAACAGAGTTACTTTTGTTTTTGCCTCAAGGGGTATCAACATTTTTACGTCATTTGTCTTGTGATTATCAAGTTATATAGCGTGAAATTTTGTATTAATAAAAAAAAAATTCTATTCATATGTCTTAAGACTTATCGAATCAGTACGATAAATGTTTATTTTCTCATGAAAAAAATTTTCTATTTTTTCTTTTTACCTTGAAAATAAGATTTAACACGTAAATAACTAACAGCCAATCGTAATATTGATAATTTATCAAGTTTAGTTAATATGGATGTTTCAAATGGTAATAATGATGCTAAATTTTCTAATTCACCATTTAAACGTTCACGATGACGTTTACTTGGATTTGTTTTTTGATTTTCTTTTAATGGACTTTTATAACTAAATAAAAAAAAAAAATTATTAATTATTAACTAAAAAAAAGGAAGAAAGAAAGAAAGAAAGAAAGAATTATTGATTATACAGTTTCACCTTAACTATTCTCTCTTTTCTTATTTGTCATGCATACAATCAAGATAAAGATAAATTTATTCAATAAAAAAAAAAAAAAGTAAAAAAGAGAAAAAAAGTTTATCTCACGCACTTCCTGAAATAAAACTAAACAAGAGGTTTTATAAGTTTTTTTTAAAGACTATCTTATTGCATGTATTCGTCGATTGATCTCGTGTATGTCGTCTTCTTTCGTGTTTAACTTACTTTTTTGTATTTCTGCGACGACGCTTCGTTGCATACATGTATATATATATATATATATATATATGTGTGTGTGTGTGTGAGTAGATATTTATTGTTGCCTGATCAGAACCACTTGTCGGAGTGGTGCATTCAAAAGTCGTAGTTGGAACGGGAAAAAAAAAGTGCGTGTGTCACACAAGGAATAATAATTAAGATCGACGCGAGACTATGCGGCTTGTTTCAATTTCGGCACGAAGCATACACACCAACAACTTCAACTTGTAGACACACGATCGATGATAGAGATCATGCAAAGCAAAAACTTAGTCTTGATGCGATAGCGACATAGAGAAAGAGAGAAAGTTCTTTTTTTTGTCTTATTTCACTCTCGTTTTTCTTTTTTTCTTTTTTTTTTTTTTCTTCTTTTTTTTTCTCAACTAATTAGAAGACGGAAGAAGACAGAGAGAAAGAGAGTGAAGCTTAATTTCTGTTGTTGTTGTTGGAGCTCGCTGTGATTAACTACCGGGTTAGATGTATGTCAGGCGATGTTCAATGAGAAAAAAAGAAAACTTTGGATCAAATTTTTTCATTGGTCAACTGTTTCAAACTATTATTCACCAATCCGATTTTAAGCAAAGTCTCTCGAGCAGAAAAAAAAAGAAGGAAAAGAGAAGAAGATTAGTGTTTGTGTGTGTGTGTGTGTGTGCGTTTTCTTCTCTAGGGTCTAATAGGAGAATAAAATTAGGTATAATTTCAAGGTTGATATGTTCCGAGAAGAGAAAGAAATGTAATCGTGCAAACGGCTTATCGAATAATACCTTCTGATAGTATTTTTTTTTCTCTCTTTCTTGCAATTGACATCTAAGAATAAAGAAAATATATATTCTTTTTAATGAGTTAATTATTCATTTGAAATAAAATATGATCGAACTCCGAGATTTTGTAATAATAAAAAGGAAAATATAACTTGAATAGCTTTATTTAACTTACTTAATAATTATATAAACAATTGAGACATATGTATTTTATTATATGAATAAATGTAAGAAGCATGAAATAAGTAACGTATATATAGGCATGAGAGCGGCAAAGAGAAAAAGGAAAAAAATAATTTCTCGAGTTCATTCTATATATTTTTCTTCTTTTTTTTTTTCTCTCAACTCTTTTTCTTTATTAGATCATGCGTGATCTTTCATGTTGTGTTGTTTCAATCGAACCGGCTTGTTACAATATTGTTGCCTGTTGGTCATTGCGTGCCTTAGTGGGCTGATAGTAGAATATGTGTGTCTGTCTTTTTTTCTTTTCAATATTTCCTATTTGATATAAAGATTGAGTTACAAGAGAATTATTGATGAATTTTTTTTTTATGACAATTGAAATCTTAATAAACTGTCTAATCATATCATTTTATGTATAAAGTATAAAAGATAAGAAAAAAAAAATCGTTCAACATATTTTGGTAAATGATATCAGTTATCATGACAAAAGAATGTATCATTTTATAGACTATTATTGAAATGTTTCGCTTGAAAGATTTTAAATTAGGTCAAATGAAGAGCAGTTTATCAATTGTCAACATTTTTTTTCGTTTTGTTTGATAGGAGAGATGATAGAAATGATCAAGTTCGATATAGTCTAACTAGTTTTTTACATGTTTCAATAGTAAAAATAAAAATATAGATAACGATATTTAACAAAATATGATCAATCATTTTAATTGATTTTGAATGATCACAGTTCTTTTTTTTTGGATGAACAAAATAATGTGTGTATCACGGAAAAACTATTTCTGATCAAATATTAAATTATTTTTTTATTCGAACGAATAAGAGAATTTTTTAGTCTCTATGCATGTATCACTGATATAAAAACGAAGGTGCGAATGAGATTATCAACATATAATATCAATGATTTTATTTGGTGCAAATTGAAAACGTAGCACGATGTCGTTCTTATCGATTTTTAATCTTATAGAACTTGTATATATATATAGGTAGAAGTATGAAATGAGGCATTCGTTTTAACAATGATAGATTTATAAAAAATCATTTTTTCTATCGTTTGATTTATATTTTTTTCAGATTTCTAAGCGTAGCTATGAATGAAAATACACGATGATAGAATTTATTAATACGTTTTAAAAGCGATTTTTTAAAGTATGGACAACGGCTTGATTCTTTTCTCATTTTACCAACATCCTAAATCGATCATTAGACTTTTCAAAAATAAATGAGTTAGGATTATTCTTTTTTTAACTGAACAGTTCAACTGAAACACGACAAAGTTCAGTTATAATGCGTAGATTTTTGCAAGGTGGTGATTAATAAGAATATAACCTTTTTTTTCGTAATAGAATGTGCCACAATTATGAAGGTTATTCATGTTATTAGAATGTCCAAGAATGTGTTGATCGGAAGAGGATAGAATCGACCAAGGTTTTTTTTTTACAAAGAAGGGAGAATCGAATAAATTTCAGGGAAAGAGGTAAGCAAAAAAACGTAAAACGCTGGAACTTCACTTGGAAAAAACGAAAACTTTCCAAGATTAAAGGGAGAATACCTTCTTGATCACTCCCTTGTTCGCAGCATTCCAGAGAATTATCGAAGTGAAATCGATTAATTACGAGTGACTAAAACAACCATTGATAAAAGGATATCTCATCATGACTGAAGACAAAATTTTTATCACATGTATAGCTAACCAAGTTTGTTAGTTTCCCAAAGTTTCAGCTCTCTAGCCAAAACTAACGCTGAAATGTATGAACAAGATTAAAATACATGAGTTTTCGTACTTGATTTTTGTGACATCTTTATGATATTTATAAACATTTGATGAAAGGAAATATAACAAAAATAAATTTTTTTTTTGAAAAATGTAAACTATAATAAAATTCGACGTGTATGAACATACTCTTCATCGCTTCTTACGACCCAGATATATTCACAGGGTGATATTTTCATACTCTGCCCTATTTCATTGAATCGAACAGAATAAGGCAGAGCTTCCAGCAAAACCGATATACTGTCTTGATTATATTTTTCAATCGAGTTCAAAAGCAATAACGTTTGCATATTTCAAAAGTATGTCTTCAAGGCGTTGATGCATTTGATGAATCATTATTTTCAAGAGGAAATATTTGATCGTTTTCTAATAAAAACTGCGTTAATTGTTCAGAAGCATAAAACTTAGAAGGTGAAGTTGAGTCATCAACAAGACAAAGTTGAGACAAATTTGATGTATCATTAAGATCAGCAGTAGGCAATAAGCAAGAAATACTGATACAATTTTTCGATGGTCATTTTATTTTATTGTTATTCTACTATTTTCACTCGAATTTACATCTATAGATGAAAACTCTGAATATCAGTTGGTATAGTCCTCAGTAGTCTATTTTCAATATTTTGCATGTAAAAAAGTTCTCTTCTTGGAGATGAAAGCTTAAAAATTTTATTTTGAAATTTGCAGGGTATAAAGACCTGACTTCCATTCTGTCCTGAAGCAGGGCAGAGTGAAAAACAATATTTTTGATCTGTCCTGTGAACATCTCTGCTATAAATAATTTTCATTGATCAGATATTTCATCTATTACTTTTGCAATTTCTTTTTCTAATTGTAATAATGTATTAAACACTTTTTTTGGCAAAATTTGGCCTCGCTATCTACTGGCTCTATGCATTGATTAAATAATTGTGCTATGAATTGTATGACTAATACTCCATGTTATGTTTTGAGACGATTTAAATTCAATATAAACTATTTACAATCTTTTCTGTTTTTGTAACAAGTAGACATTTAAGATAAAGATTCTCATTGAGTCTAAAAGATGTTAGATACGAATTTATTCCTATATAGTTAAAACAATCCTTAATTGTTCTGTCGTAATTGATTGCATAGTAAAAATATTATAAAATTCTAATATAACAATGCATGTATGTTAATCTTGTCCATATATTTCAGCACTAGTTTTAGACAAGAAGCTGGAAGTTTGGTAAATTAAAGATCTCAGTTAGATATATATGTGAGAAAAATCTCAGTTTTCTACGTCAAGAAAAAGTATGAAACATATCGTTGACAACAGAGATCTCAATAGGCTGGATTGGGCCAAATAAGTCAATCCATCGGTTATCGATCTTTGTCTCGGTACAGACCATGATTTTTTCTTAAAAAATGGCCCCTTCGTGAATCACTCATCTCATTACATTAGACAAATTTTTAATACATGAATGAGCAAACATATTTCAAGCACTAGTATTTGATGTATAAACAAATGTTCGATAGTATATTTGACAACTTGCAAAACCTTCAATTCATCAGTATTTAAAATCAAAAACTTTCTAAAATAAAGATGTGTTTACTCTTTTCATTTTTTATAGCAGCATATGTTGATGGTTGTTGTTTCAAAAGAAATTTGATCCGTTCGGAGATATAGCTTTTTATATGATGATGAATCAGTACTGGTAATTGAAGAAAAATGGTTAACAAAAATTGATGATTGAGAATGATTAGTAAGAATAGAATTAGAAAAAGTAATTGTTGATGAATGAGGAGAGCTAAGCAAAGACATTTTGTTCAATATAAAGAGAACTTTTTTAAGGTGTAATGAAAATTTTATCTTTTGCTTAAGATATTTGTTGTTCATTGTAGAAATGTTTTAGCCAACGGAAGAGTTACATGAAATTTTCGAAAAACAAAATATCCAAAGGAAATACGCAACTTCTTTTGAAAATTTTATATATTATTTAAGATTTGGCCCATCGCAATATCGGATCAGTTCGGCACAGCCTATGGCTTTTCATTCGAAAAAATTTCGACCCATGAGCTGAATCAGACTCAGCCCATTATGATCTCTGGTTGAAAATTTATCCTCATTCATTATGGAGCACCGTTCAAACTGACATTTTCCTTTCCATAGAAAAATAAGTCTTAGATCTCACAACTAATCAATTTAATATATCACAACGGATATTCAATATTTTCATTTAGTCATGTAAATTGCTTTCAATTAAGTATTAATTCTTCCATACTCCCTAGGAAGATCTTGTTATTCAAAAATTTAACA